AGTCCTGCAGTGGGAGAGGGAAACAGGGCTGAATTCCAACTTCAACAAGGACAAATGGGGATTTATAACCAAAGGAAGGGGCTAAAAACGACTGAGAGTGACCATCAAGGAGATCAAGAAAGGCCAGATACCACCGGGGTGGAGGATCTTTGGCAAACTGACTTATCAGGATTCTTGGTCAAACTGGACCCTAGACAAGGACAGAAGGGGAAGGTCACGTCAGGCCTAGTCCTAGACAAGATCAGTTCTAATCAGAGGACTCAAGAGGAGCCTGATTAAAGATTTGGTCAAGGAGAGACTTCGTCAAATTCTACGTACAAAGAGCTTGAGAGTCGTTGCTCCCATCGTCAGAGCAAGAAAAAGCTGAGCAAACTGAAAATCAGTGTCCTTTCGAGGACTATCAGAGAACTGTGGTCACAAGGCACATCTACACAGCGCTCTCTGGACAGACCGAGACAGCGGCCTGGGGAGGCCCCACAGATGTGGCCTGGGGAGGCCCCACAGAGATGCATTATCTGGAACAGAAGACCCTGGCCTCTAGGGAACAGAAGTGCTTACTTAGTCAGTTTCATAATTCTGAGGTGTGGACTGTCCTGAGAGTAGAATCCCCAGGGGAATCTGCAGGGGAAACCCACACTTTCCTGACCTTTACCTCCTAAAAGCCCACTCGGTTCTCAGCATGAATGGACAAGAGGGACCCCCTTGTGACTCTGGCAGGGGAGGGAGTTATTTACCATTTTGAAATATACCCGGATTATTCTCCCAAGAAGGCCCTTCTCTCCAGGTAAGAGACTACACTGGGGCCTTATCCCACCTGGGGAAGGATATTATCCCAATTCCTGCCTGCTTCTAGCCTGCCTGACTGACCTAAAAGAAAAAAATAAAGCCAACAAAAACTCGTGAAAGTCACTGCCCAGGACTACAGATCCACTAAGTGATCATTATTAATTGTAAGATTATATTAGAAAACCAAGCCTCCCACACACCTTACCACTGTGAGCAAGCTCCAATAAAATAGCAGATTACAGTTGAAATTACAGATGGAAGAGCCATAAATCAGATTCTGCTTGGAAGCCTCTGGTTCCTCAGGCTGAAACAAAGATGGAGCCCAGTCTGCTCTCTAACCAGGTTAACGTGAAAACTCACACCCAAGGCCTTTGATGCAGTTCCTATTTATCTGATAGGTCAAGATCACCTTGCAACAAAAAATTTGCAAAGCAAGCTAATGGCAAACAGAAACAATCTGATGCAATGGGACCAGATTCCAATATGGCAGAATTTTTGGAAACTATTGGACAGGAATTTTTAAATAATTCATACATTCAGGGTTCCTCTGAAAAATGTAGAAAATTGGCAAGAACGAATGGATGATGTCACCCTGGAGGTGGAAACTCTAAGAAAGAACCAAAGGAAAGTAGAAATCGAAATCACCGCAACAGAAATGAAGAAGATGTCCTTAATAGGTTCCACAGTTCACTGGACATGGCCAATGAAAGAGTCAGTGACTTGAAGAGAGATCAAAATGAACTGGCTAACTCCGCATGCCTCACGGTGGTTGGCACAGTGAAATAGGCATGGACAAGTGTCCCTGTCCTCTCATTGCTGCCTTCCTTACAGCCAATCAGAGCATTCAGAACAAATCTGCTGTGGTTTCTATGTGTCCCCTCTGAAGTGCCTATGTTGGAAACTTTATCCCCACTTTATACGTTAGTGGTACTCAGAGGCAGGGCCTTCGGGAGGTAGTTAGGATTAGATGAGGTCATGAGAGTGAGGCTTATGGTGGCATTAATGTCTTTATAAGAAGAGAAAGGGAGACATGAGCTAGTGTGCTTGCTGTGTCTTTCCGTGTGATGCCTCTATTATGTTATGATGTAGCCAAAAGGTCCTCACCAGAGGCTAGTGCCATGCTGTTGGACTTCCCAGCATCTAGAACTGTAAGAAATAAACTTGTTTTCTTTACAAATTACCCAGTCTCAGGTATTCAGTTATAGAAACAGAAGACAGACGAAGCCACTGTCCATTCATCTCTGAAACCTGTCTCCGTCCTTCCTTTCCTCTTTACTATCTACCACTATTCCAGTCCTGCCCTTTAGTTTTGAGTTCTCACCTGGATTACTCTAATACTTTCACAGTTTGTCTTCTTGCCTTTCAGTCTTGCCCTATTTTCCAATTAATTCTTTGTACGACTGCCAGAAAAATCAGCCTCCACTATAAAACAGGCTGCTTTCTCTAGCTTTACTGATAACTTTGTTGCTCTTGGGATAAAGTCCTGTTTCCTAGGCAGAATGTGCAACTCTGACCTCTGCCTAGTTCCAGAGCTCCAACTTTTGCCACTCCCCACCTAGAATTTTATTTACAGACTCACAGGACTCTGATTCAGTGGCTTCACATTTTGATTTGCTGAGTCCCCTCCTCTTAATGGAATGTCCCTCCTCTTGCCATCCAGTTTATCCTTGAAGACACAATTCAAGGATCACTGGCCACAGAAAGGCTTCCCCATCTTCCCCCCACTCCTGCCCTATCAGCTCGGTGCCCCTTGGGGCTGGCACAGACCACACTGCTCATCTGTTTCCTTGACTGTCTGCCTTGGGCGCAGCTGTGAGTTCTTGTGAGGCAGGAGTCCTGACTTCATGTTCTCATAGACTAGGTCTTTAAAGCACCTAGAACTTTGTCTCGCACAGAAAGTCAACTGGTAAATGTTTGGTGGATGTATGAATGAATTGAATGGATACTGAAGGCTTCCCAGTTTCCAGGGAAAGCCAGCATCCGAGGTTACAAAGAACAGAAGCTGATGCTGGTTCACTTAAGTAGAGAAAGAATTTTTTTTTTCCTGATACCAGGAATTGAACCCAGGGGTGCTTGACCACTCAGAGCCACATCCTCAAGCTCTCTTTATTTTTTAATTTAGAGACAGGGCCTTGTAAGTTGCTGAGAATGGCTTTGAACTCACAATCTTCCTGCCTCCTGAGGCTGGATTACAGGTGTGAGCCACCACACTTGGCAAGAAAGAATTTTCTAGAAGGGCATTGGGTAGCGCACTAAAACAGGAAGGCTGGAGAGTCATAGGAAGACATGAGCATGGTGTGGTGTCCTGGCGCATTCGCCATTGTCTTCTGGATGGCCACCGTGATAACCGCAAGTGGTGACTCAATCACTCCGTCAGGACTCCGAGCCTCAGGGAGACGCTGCATCACCAAGTGTGAGTGCTGTCTGTGATGTGGTTGTGGGGGAGGGAAAAGAGAATAACTTCCCTTTTCAGCTTCCCCATTGAGAAGGGTATTCCCATGTTAAGTATTCAAAATGAGAAGCCTGACCATGTAGGGTTTTCTGGAAGACTGCGAGTCTGTTTCCTAGGGCCAGTGTTATGCCTTTGCCATAACAGTGTGCCACAAACTGGTTACCTGCACAGTAGGAATTTATTCCCTCTCAGTTCCTTAGACGAGAAGTCCCAAATCAAGTGATGGGCATGGTTGGTTCCTTGCGCACAACTCTGAGGGAGAGTCTGTTCTGTGACTTCTTCTTAGCTTCTGGTGGCAACTGGCAATCCTTGACATCCTGGGACTTGCAAAGGCACCATTCCAATCTCTGCCCCCAGCATCACGTGGGGCCCTCCCCCTATGTCTGTGTCTCTGTGTCTGCCACAGGCGTATTGAAGGAGGTCCATCCGGCACCAATGGGACCCCATCTTAACTAATGATATTAACATTTATCCTATTTGCATGTAAGATCAGGATCTGAGGTACTGGTAGAACTTCAGCACGACTTTTAGGGGAACACAATTCAACCATCTCACTTACGCCTACTACATCTGTTTTCTGTTAGTGGTTTAACAAGTAACAGGGAAGTAAAGCCTGTTCTTCCCGAGGTGCATGGACAAGGTACTGTTGTCTTTGAAAAGCATAAAAAACCTAATAAAAATGACTCAAAGATGGTTTTCTTTTTGTTATTAACTTGGGTCAGTGAATATTATTTAGAACCCAAATCTGTTAGTGGGTTCTAAATAATAGTTTTTCTTAAGATGAGATATAAAAATACCTTTTCAAATTCCTCAGTACTCCTCCCTTGCCAGGGGTGGAGCCCAGTTCCCCTTTCCCGAACGTGGACGAGATTTAATAGTTTTTTGACAAGTAAAAATGTTAGTTTATAAATGATATATTTACAGAATTTGAATTCTATCTTCAAGTGGAAATTTATTCCTCTTATTAGTTGTTTGTAAAGTGGATGATAGCCAGGTGTGGTGACACACAACTGGAGACCCAGCCATTCAGGAGGCTGAGGCAGGAGGGTTTCTTGAACCCAGGAGTTCAAGACCCGCCTGGGCAACACAGTGAGATCTTGTCTCAAAACAAACAGAAACTAAAGAAGGAATCAAGCCAACAAATACAAAATTAAGTTTAAAAATAAAATTATTTTTAGTGATTCCTGAACATAATTTAATTGTTCACAGCTAAGGCAGGGTGAAGAAAATCATTTGTTACAGTTGTCAAATATGCTAGGTTCTATGCCTTGGCTTTTACAGCATCTGAACCTGAGTCTCAGAATTCTATGAGGCAAAATAGGATTCTCAATATGTAAGTAAGACTCAATAAACTGATGAAAATCTATCAACTCAACATGTTTCTTTCTTTCTTGTATTTTTAAAAATATTTTTACTTGTAGATAAATTTATTTTGTTTATTTTTATGCGGTGCTGAGAATTGAACCCAGTGCCTCACACATGCCAGGCAAGAGCTCTACCACGGTGCCACAGCTGCAGCCCTCAGCAGGTTTCTTGAATATCTGCTTTGTGTTTAGAGTGTGTCTGCAAACAAAACAGGTCCGTGCCTCGTGAGTGGTCTTGGGGGAGCAAGACCACAAGTGCAACAGGTATATAGTAGATTAGAACCAGGGAAGTGCTTTGGGGGAAGAGAAAGAAGGGCAAGCAGGACAGAAAAGATGGGGTAGGAGTGGAGCAGGTGGTGGGATTATGCAGGCTGAGCAGGGCAGGCCTCACGGGAAGAGAGATTAGACAAAGTCCTGCCGCAAGCCTGACCGGCTTCCTGCAGACCGCTTGGAGAAGATCACCCTGGACACAGGGACCAGCTAAGGTAAGACCCTGTGGGGATGTGCACCCAGCAAGGTGGCAGGGAGGCGAGGGGGCCCGTGTGAGCAGGAGGAAGAGAGGACAGTGTCCCCTGGAAGAGGGTGTCATCTGGGAGGTAATCTCCAGGGGCCTACACTCCCAGCAGCTGGGGAATGGGGCTTCAGCCCTGAAGGGGGGTCTGACAGGACTCCAGCATCCCCCCCAGGACTAGATTGATGGGATCACTATTCCATGTGCACAGAGAATTAAAGGGGACACCTGGAAAGTTAGCATATTGGGACATTTTGTCTAGTCTTCAAGGTAGCTGACGTGCACAGCAGGCCCAAACTTGCATGAGACAGTCTTGCGGCATAGACCAAAATAAAGACTGAAGATGACTTTAGTGAACATGAAGGTTATGCATCTAAGAAACTATAAAATCCAAAATATTGTTGCTTTCTTTTCTCTGTATCTGAGATCCGTGACTGAATAGTGAGCTATTGATGAGAAAGAAATGAATCTGAACACTTGTCTGTGGGTTAGTTTACTAGGACTGTCTTAAAAGACCGCAGAGTAGGGGCTTAACACACAGACATCTATGTTCTTGTGATTCTGAGGCTGGAAGTCCAAGGTCAAGGTGTCAGTACTGTGGTCTCTGCTGAGGCCTCTCTGCCCGGTTTAGAGGTGACCTGTTCACACCCTCCCAGGGCCTTTCCTCTGTGCAGACGCACCCTTGAGCCTCTTCCTCATACAGAGACACATGTCCCATTGGATTAGGGCCACCCCAAGGCTCTCATGTAACCTTAATTACTTCTTAGAAGGCCTACCGCCAGACAATGTCACATTGGGGATTAGGGCTTCAACCAACAGAATTAAATTCTTTTTTAAAATATATATATCTTTTAGTTATAGATGGACACATAACTAAAATAAAATAAAGGACTATTTTATTTATTTGTTTTTATATGGTGCTGACGATCAAACCTAGGGCCTCGCATGTGCTAGGCAAGTGTTCTACCACTGAGTTACAGCCCCAGCCCTCAACTAACAAATTCTTGGCAAAGAAAATTTTCTATAATAGTGCATTACATTCTATAGTGTTATTTTAGGCTTTTATTTTATTTTGCAGCATTAGGGATTGAACCCAGGGTAACTCTAACACTGTCCTTTTATTTTTTATTTTTTTCTTTTGAGGCAGGGTCTTGCTAAGTTTCCCATGGCCTCGAACCTGCAATTCTCCTGCCTCAGCCTCCCAAGCCACTGGGATTATAGGTGTGTGTCACTGTCCTTGCCTTATTTTAGGTGTTGAATACCATCAAATTTCAGAGCAGGGCCAGGTGTGGTGGTGCATGCCTGTGATCCCAGCAGCTCAGGAGGCTGAGGCAGGAGGATCGCCAATTTAAGGCCAGCCTCAGCAACTTAGCAAGGCCCTGAGCAATTTAGTGAAACCCTGTTTCACAAAATAAAAAGGGCTGGGGATGTGGATAAGTGATTGAGTGCCCCTGGGTTCAGTCCTTAGTACAACAAAACAAAACAACAAAAATTCACAGCAGTGCCTTCTTTTAGAAGTGTTCAAATGTAATTTTTCCTCAAAGCCAGAATCTCTGACAAACAGCTGTTATTTCACTAGAAAATTGGACTTTTGGACTTTTCCAATTGGCAAGCATATGGCATTAATGATTTATACCAGGTAAACATGGAGGGAGAGTTTGGCCAGAGTGTTGAATTCCAAGCAAATTGAACTGTAATAATAAAAGGAGGAAGTAATGATAATAAAAGTAGAAAGTGACACTAGGTTAAATCCAGGATCCAGAACCAGAGACATGACTGATTTAGTGGCAAGGATTCCACGGATGGTCTTCACTCCACACCCGACGCTGGCTCTTCTGGGGATGTACCCACCACCCCCAGAAAAGGTGTTGATAATTAAGTAGTAGAGCTAAGAATAAGGAAGAGGCGTTCCAACAGGCATGGGTATGGCTGAGGAGGAGGGTGATCCTCTCACGCACAATGGACCTTTCCCACTTAGACACTTGTTAGAATGAGAGGGATGCTGTTAAGGATTATGCCAAGGAGGTGCACAGGAGGAAACGGAGACATGGGATCGCAACAGGGTCATTGCCAGGGAGGCTCAGTGTGCAGGCATGGGTGGGGGTGGGGTAGTGGGAAGGGATGGCCTTCCCTGACCTCTGTGTGGTGCTTTCTGTGGTGTGAGGCTACGTGTCCCCTTGGCCATGCCGAGTCAAGGGGAAGAGTGTTTATGCAATAGTCCGTTGAAATGCCAAACTTGGTATTATTCTGCAGCCCCAGAAAACCCACAGCTCTCTGTTCCCCTTCTTTAACTGCCACTCATGGGTCCTGTTTCTCTTCTCTCAGTTTTTGGATTATGGGTTTGTTTGTATTTTTGATACTGGGGATTGAACTCAGGGGTACTCAACCACTGAGCCACATCCTCAGATTTTGCATTTTATTTAGAGACAGCATCTCGCTGAGTTGCTGAGGCTGGCTTGGAACTCATGATCCTCCTGCCTCGGGCTCCAGAGCCCCTGGGATTATAGGCAAGCGCTGGATGTATGCTTTAACCCTTTGGTAGTCAAAATTCAGTGCTCGGACAATAAAGTCCTGCTGATTGATTCGTGTGGAATTGAAACTCATCACCAGTTCTGTGGATTTTGCAAAGTGACATTTCTTCTCGAACATAACATAGACTGAAAAATACTAACAGAGTGTCCCGTGAAGTGTTAATAACCAGCACAGGCACAACGAAAGCAAGCACTTATCTTACAGGTGTTGAAATATCTGTCCTGGCAGAGAACAGAGTTGGCATTTTGCTGGTAGTAACTGTCAGATGACCAGAGGCCAAAAGTACAGTTATCAGTAAACTGCACATTTTGAAAACCTGGGAGGGGGAGGTGGTTACAGATGGGTTCCTCCCTCTGTCCCCACTCCTTTCCACCTCATACACGTTTATTTGCTGTTGGAGCTTACACTTTTTTTCAGATATTCATCCCTCTTCACAAGTCCTTGGTTTCAAAGCCATAATTCCCTATCCCTAGTCCAAGAGGTTGAATTATTATTGGTATAATCTAACCATTCTTTCCTACTTTTGATTATTTTAACAATGGGTATGTGCTGTAATCCTGGCCCATGATTTGTGTAAAAAAAGTCTCTGGGATGCTTCACAGTTACAAGGGGGATATGCAGAAACATACCTTTTACTTTTTGCCTCTGGAAGTTTTATGATTGCGAAATCTGGAGCTGCTGCAGCCATCTTATGACCATAAGGTAAGATAGTAGAGGACAAACAAGATGCTGAGGATAGAGGAAAGAGTGGAAAGACAGAAAGAATTTAGATTCCTGAATGAATTGTTGAGTTGCTGAGCTATGCAATAGCACAATATGCTTTTCACTGGGCTTTTTGTTTATTTCCTTGAAACAGCTTTACGACATGTACCTGATAAGGTTTTCGTTTATTTCTTTTGTACCAGGGAGCTTAAACACTGAGCCACATTCCCAGCCCTTTTATTTTTTATTTTGAGATAGGATTTCGCTAAGTTACTGAGGCTGGCTTTGAACTTGCAATCCTCCTGCCTCAGCCTCCAGAGCTGCTAGGATTGCAGGCGTGTGCCATCACTCCCGGCTCTGATAAAGTTTGTGTAGTTCTGTTTCTGCTGCTTCTGGTTTACACTGGCTTTTCTCGTGGAATTGTTTCCTGATTTGCTATATATA